GGTCGTAGGCCTCCTAGGAGAAGCGGAGGGACTGTTCAAAACATTAGGAGTACCATTCTAGGTTCCAGGTTACTCAGGACAGACTCTCTGAGTTTTGTGTGGAAAGAGAAAGGACAGGTATGGTGGATCTTGGAGAAAGTATGTTGGATCTAGGGTTTGGGAGTTGGTCACGGCCCAGCAGGTGTTGGAGTTAGGAGCCTTAGGTGTTTCAGACAGCTCCAGCTGGCTGGCTACACCCAAGTGGGTAGAGCGCTTTGAATGGGTGATGCTACCATGGGAGACAAAGGCAAGGAAGGACCAGATATTTTATACCCACTCACCGCCTGCTGAGTATGAGCAGCTCACTGGATGTTAGGGCCACCATTGAACCCTTACAGAAAAAGTAATATCTTGGGGGGAGTGGTTAGCTTCCACCAAGAGGAGACAGAAGAGAAAGTAACTATTGTTACTGATGGGGTGCTGGGGGAAGAGGGCAGAGCTTACTGAAAAGGTGGTGAAGGAATCCTGAGGCTTACTGAGGAAGAATCTTTGTGGTAGAACAAACAATGCCCTGTGAATGAAACATGTCATGGACTAGAGGTAATTAAAAAAAAGATGGAATGTGAGAGACCAAGGCAGACCCTTGGTTGGGGCTACAGATCTGTGGGAGATGCAACTTGTAATTACCTTGCATTGTAAAAGATTGACCAGCTGCCATGTGGAGGATAGACTGTGAGGTAATGTAAGGGTAGCAGGGAGACTGCAAAAAATGTTCCTGCAGCAGCCAGCTTGAACCTGGTGTTGTGGCAATGGTGGTGGTGGGTGGGTAGGTATGAAGTAGGAGATTCTGATGTCATTTGAAGGGAAGGAGTGGTGGGATTGTTGCAGGCTGAGGATATGTAATGGAATAAGATATAACTCAGACACCCACATCTGGAGCTGTGAGAGCAAATGGAAAGCAGGTGCAATGGAAGCTGTTGATAGGCAGGAGTCCCTAGGCTGAGAGCAGCAGCCCCTGGATATTAGGGAAGGGTCAAGGGGAAATTGGCTTGGAAGGAGTTCAGGGGAAATTGATGGAGCATCAAATACTTTGCTTGGTTAGGAACTGCATAGAAAAAAAATAAAGTATCAGAAGTCTTCTTGGGACATTAGCCATGATGGGTTGCAGAAGTGGAACTGGGGTAGGGAACAAGCAAATGGTGATGAATGGGGGTTGGTGAGTCACAGCACCTCAGTTTGGTGATAGGAAGCAATTGGAGACACCCCCTTCCAGACCAGCCTAAGTCCCTTGTTTTTCTCAGAAGTCTCAGCCATAATCTAGGATTTATCTTTCCTAGAGAGACAACTCTCATGTAAAATTATCCTTCAGAACCAAATCTGATGATACATGCCTGTCATTGCAGTACTGGGTAAGGGGCCAGTGTTGAAACAGGGGGTCTGGAGTTTGAAACCAGCCTGATCTGTGTGGTGAAACCCTGTCTCAAACAAACAAAAATTCCTTTATCCTACAGGTAAATGGGCTGTAAATTAAAGTTCAATTATTCCCCACCCCCAGTCAGCACCCAGGCTAGTTCTATCACTTACAAGAATATTTGTTGTCAGGTAGGGAAGTGACAGGGTCTGACTCAGTGACCAGAAAGCCTGGAAACATCATCTGGACATGAGACATTGCAGGCCACCGTAGGGTCATCAGACCCTTAGTCAGAAGTTGTGTGTCAGGCACAGAGGCAGGATGGATGCCCCAGGCTAACAAGGCCATCAACCTTCAGTTAGCACATGGAAGCTGTAATGGAGTAGTAGAGGAACTCAGGTGAAATGTTTGGGGGTTGGTTCTATTGGACAACCTGACAGTGAAGTATGTAGAGACGATGGACTAGGTGCTGATGAGGATGGGAGAGTACAAATTCCAGTGGGTCTCCAAGGGAGACACCTAGGAGCAGTAGGAGTGGCATGTGAAAAGGTGCCTGTCTGGATATGCACTCCAAGCATTAATGGCATCTAGGTGGTCTGATGGGCCTTGAGGGTGTTAAAGGCCCTGGGGAAGCATAGCACACTGAAAAACCCAGGCAGGAGGCAGTAGAGAGGCCACAGCAGGCTGTGAACTGGGACATGGCATGGGCTCAACTCAGCCTTGGCTGCAGCTTAGCCAAAAACACTGAACTCCAGGTCTGAAAGAAGGAATCCCAGGGTCTTAGAGAAAATTGCAGGCACCTGACACAAACCCTGCCTTCCAAAACAGGCCACTCTTCCAGGCAGTTGCTGCTTTGCCTAGACCAGTCTCCCAGGAGATGCCTGTACCCTCACACCTTTTGGGTGTCTGAAAACACCCCAATCATAAGATCAACCACATACCAGTTCGTTCTAGTCCCAGATTTCAATGCAGGGAAGAAAGAAGCTGGAGAAAAAGCTGACTCACTCCCAGATACTACCCTCAAGACAATTCAAAACAGTGGAGTGGGTGGTCCTCTGAACAAGACGCACAGCACTCATTCACACATGGCATGCATGTGATCCCCAGGTGTTGGTAGATTGGGCACTCTGTACCTGGATCTGGCAGAAGGAGGAAGAAAAAGGAACAGGCCAGTAGCTAAGAGGCAAGGACAGCATATGATGATTGCCTTGTGACTGAGGCTTCTCAGGGAAAGACTTTGGAGTTGAGCCAGGTGCAGTTGAGACCATGGATACATTTGAACATGTGTCTGACATCACCATGTGAGGTCCAATTGAGGAGAATGTTGTGGTCAGTCACCTGGGCATTGCTGGAAGACTTAACAGATTCCCCCAGAGCCAAGGGCAACAATGTACAACTCATTCTCTTTTTTTGTGACATAATGGTATGGCTGACAGCTGGAGTTAGGTGATGTCCCCAGCACTAACATTCCAGTCTTGCCCTAAAAACTTAATTAATGCCATTAATCATTGGCATTAGATACAATTATCTTCTTCTAATTAAAATTGGCAATGGTTTTCAATTCCTATATTAACCCTATTTAAGCAACCAATCTATAAATAATGACTTGAAGAACAGCTAGCCATCAACAATCTGACAGAAAAAAAACCTAACTGGACCTCAGATGTGGATTTAGGAAACCCCAATTTTCTAAAGCCTTTTGGCTCACTTCTTTGCATTCCAAAGGCTGTGAGGTTTGCCTCATTTAAAGTGATTTAGGAGCACTGTGCTTGACCTGGCTGAGTTGTCAGCCCTAAGGTCTTGACTGGAGGGCTGAAAAGGACTCATTGTAGCCCAGGTGATTAATTGTGAACTGTTCCTATAAAGGGCCAACAAGTAAACATATTTAGCTTTTCAGGCCAGGTCTCTGTTGTAACTGCACAACCCTGCCCTTGTAGTGTGAAAGCAGCCATGAACAGTATGCGGGTGAATGGGCATGGCAGCTTGCCAATAAACTTTACTTACAAAACAAGAAGAGGTTCAGGGTTCATTCATCTTTTGGCCAGAGTTTATAGATATGTTACCTAAACCATGAAAACCAAATCCTAGCTCCTTGAGATTACTTAGAATGACTCACATAGGGAGAGACTAACTTGAGCTGGGGAACCCAGTTATCCTCCCAGAGAATTGGCCTTCCTTCCACTGTCCTCCACTCTACCTGGAGGTCATCAGGGCTGGCTTTGTGTTTGTAATAGGGCCAGTTGATATGGGTAACAGCGCAGGCACTGATTTGTGTGAGATCTAGTAGAGGACTATCCATTGGCCTCTTGTTCTCGAAGCAGGAAGGAACCCAGCATGTGGGGCCAGGGAGACATCAGAGAGGCAGCTGTTCTGTGACTTGAAAAGATAATGAGACTGGAGTCAGTCTGTGAGTGACCATGGAAAAGCCAGAGAAGAGAGAGGCTGATTACCAGGCAAATTCTAAAACATTGTCCTGCAGGATATGCAGGTGGCTGAAGGGGATGCAAGCTTGGTTCAGAGCATGTGTCGAAAGTGGTGGGGGGGTTCAAGTATTGTAGGAAGCTCTTCCTTGCAGAATGTAATACTGTCGTGACTTGAAAACAAGAGTGGAATGGACAAGGAGCATGTGGCAAAGCACAGAGATGTCTGAACAGAAGCTTAATGAGGAGGAAGGTAATTTGGAGAGGAAAGGGCAGAAAGGTAGATTTTGAAGAGCTGCTAAGAGCACCAAGTATTTAATCAGACCCAATGAGACACATGTAGTTATGACCCAGAGCTATAAAAAGACCATGCAGATAACTGGTAGACCAAGACAGCTGGATAGGAGCAGGCTTGGTACATGAAAATTCAAGTGTGGCCATTTTCAGTCGTGGCCTCCAGGTTAGGGCCAGGGGATTCTTAGGCCCAGACCTCTTAGGAAAAGGCCATACCCATATACTAGAAAGAGATGTGGACAGACAGGAAGAATAACACGGACAGTCCAGAGCTTTGAGACATCCAAAGACAAAGGAGAAGTAGAGGAAGTGATTTCAGAGCAGCTGGTAAAGTGAAAGAGGGCCAGGCAGTAACAACAGTGTCAGGGAGGCTTGAGAAGTTTCCATAAATGGGAGTTCAAGTGTGTGGTGTGTCCCTGAAGGAAGGACTAAGATGCAGGTTCAGAAGTGGGCACTGGTACACCCTTTAGAGAATCTCAGTATGTCTTCTACCAAACTGGAATTAAAATTGAGCAAAAACCTTGGGTGCCACCTAAGCCATTCCTGTTCCCAGCTAAAGAACCAAGAAGGTAACAGGCAGCAGCCTATTGTTCCAAGTTATCTACCCAGGTCAGGATGTTTTCAACATCAAGGCCCATACCTGTAAAACCTTACCACAGTCCAGCAAAGCTACCCCATTCCTTACAAGTTCCCCAGTGTGTAAACATTCATTATGCAGTGTGCCAGCCTCTGATGTGGGCACAACTTTCTGTACCAGCTACCCACTGACTGTCTCCTCTCCTTTCCCCTCCCTCCCTTCTCCTCACCCCTCTCCTCTCCCCTTTCTTCTCCCTTTGCTTCCCTTCCTTGCCCTTCCCTTTTCTCATGTGGGGTCTGTCCCTCCCCCTCCACTTCAGATCCGGGTGGTGAAAGCATTCCGTAGCTCGCTTTATGAAGGCCTTGAGAAACCAGAATCCAAGAGCTGCATCCATAACTTCATGGCAACGCCCGAGTTTCTGATCAATGACTACACCCACAACATCCCACTCATCGATGACACGGATGTGGATGAGAATGAAGAGCGACTGAGGGCCCCGCCTCCCTCACCCCCTAACCAGAACAACAATGCCATAGACAGCGGCATCTACCTGACCACGCATGCCACCAAGTCAGCTACCTCTTCAGCATTCTCTTCTAGGCCCGGGAGCCCACTCCACAGCATGGAGACATCCCTCTAACCAGAACTTCTTTCAGCACACACATACACATACATGTGCACACGCACATACACATACACACACATACACGTAATGACACATGCACAGATATGTGCATGTACACACAGAGAGGGAAACTGTGCACCTGCCAAAGAGGAAAAATCTGCTAAAGAGATTAAAGACTTTTCTTATGTGGTATTTGCAAGAAGCAAATTGCATTTAATAATGGCACAGACCACTAGGCTTCTCACCAGGCACTCAGGAGGTGGAGGAAGGAGGAAGAAGGAAAAGGAAGGAGAGGAAGTTCTTCACCCAATGTGAAGAAAAAAAAGGGAGCATGAAACAGGATGTGCTTTCCACCTTTTTTTTTCCTAGTGATGCTTCTTGTTTAACAAATACTAGTTCCACCATGTGTTCACTATTTGAGGTGTGCAGCGTGGTAGGAGCTAGCTGAGCCTAGAGGCCACTGGAGGGAGCCACCTGCAAAGGTACCTTCTACTGCAAAGTACACTAAACCCATCTGCAGACCGCATGTGTGTACGTGTGTCTATATGTATGTGTGTTTATATGCATATACATACATATGGCAAAATGCATATTTCAAGAATAAGGAATTATTTATCGGCATGATATTTCCATTCCTCTCACAAGGCATTTTTCCTTTCAAAGTTTCATTTTTTAATGTAGCAAGGTTCTTTCCAGGGAACAAGGTTGCAAGAACATCCTCTTGGTACCGTACTTCCCTCCCCAAGCCCCTGACCAGAGAATCTCCATGCCTGACCCTGCTGAGATTCCAGAGGAGGCAGTCTGGGGAGTTGTGCAAGGCCTGGAAGCCCTTTACAACCTCTACCTGTAGAGGAAAAAGACTTTTCAATAGCATTTTTATTTAAAAGGAAAATACCAAAGTATTGATGACAGTGGTCTCCTCTAATGTGAAGCAAAGCAAGTTTTGGTTTTGGCTTCCTTCCACTTCATTTCCAACACCTTCATTTTGCCTGGTGGCTTTCTTTTTCCAGCTTTGAAAGCATGACGAACTCTAGGAACAGCTGCAATAGAGCAGAGACAGATGCCAGGCCTAACTTCTACAGAGACCACCTGAGGAAGAGGGGTCATCAGAACCAAAACCCCAACTGCAAGGACAGTCCAGGTTCATCTCTGTCATTCCTCTAGATTTGCACTTTGTGTTTTGGCAAATAACAGAGAGTACTTACTAGACCACCTCTGTGTCTGACAGGGCATGGGCGTGACACCCACCAAAGCATGCTTCCAACCCAGATCTTCTTGCCTACAGGGCAAATACAACCCAGAAGGCAACACTATGGAAGCAACCTCTTGGGAAAATGGCCTTCATCACTGTTGCCATTGCTCTGTTCTTGCTGGTGGCTCTTCTGGGCCTGTGGGGACTGAGCACAGGATCCGCAGGGCTTGGGTCCACCTAGACAGGTGAGGCTAGGAAAACTAGGTCTAGGCACCAGGAGCCTATTCTAGCAGTGTGGGCACCCACTGTGCCAAGCCTGAGTGATAACCTGAGGGAAGAAAGCAGAGAGAGGTCTAATGTCTGCTGCCCTGTAGGGAAACCCAAGTTAATGAGTATCTTCCTACTGGAAAGCTGACCCTCCCCTGTGCTCCTAGGTCCTGAATCTGGACAACCACAATGACACAAGTGAAAGGGACAGCATCCTGCCCTTGAGGTTCCTTCACCTTCTGAACTTATGGGTGTCACACTTTACAGGAAGATGTCTAGAATATTAACTCCATCCAACGAGAGTGCCTGTCACCTGGGCCTGAGGTTTTATGCCAGGAGACAGATGTGAGCTAAGGATGGAGGGAGCTGCATTTGCCCCCACTCTCATTCCACACCACTCCCACAGAAAGCTTGTCTCATCTCCCTGGCATCTGCACAAAATCAAGTGGAGATGTGCTTTGTCCTCACTGGTCACACCAATGCCATGTCACCCCTGAGCAGGAGTAGTCATATCTCGGGCAAAAGAATTATGGTTACAAGAGAAACTCCACTTTAAAATGCCAGCTACAGATCATTTAAAGCCATCCTTTTTTCTAAAGGGCATATTGAGAATGTTTCCCATTTGTAAATTGTTCCCTGATGTCCTTGTTTAAAACACCACAACAAAAGGGCAACTTGGCTTGCTGAGGGTCTTTGTGTTATTCAACAAGAAATCAAAATGTGGAGTATTGCAGCTGAAGTAGGTCAGCTGTGTCCAGCTAAGTTCATGGGCTTCTTGTCATCTTCTGTTGTAGACACACAGATAGAGCAAATGGCCACTATATATTAAAGAGCCAACCCTCAATGCTGCTGTGTAAAGTTGCCTGATGTCAGTGTCGACTGTGTGATACCCAGGTTGCCTTTGTACTGAACTGTGGGGTTCAGAAAAGGCCATGGGAACCTGCACCATCTGTTCTGGTTCTTGTACAGTCTTCAGGCCAAGAGACCTGTCTCATCGGAAGCTTCTCTTTATAAAGCATCTTGCTATTCGGAATGGCTTGGTCAACTGTGTTCAGTTCATAAATATGTTTTACATTTTTATCTGCCTGTTATAAAGATGAACAAAATATCTTAATGAGAAAGACCACAGATGTATAATAAATTAAAGTCTGTAGTTGAATTTCTTAATTTAAAGAATAAACCAAAATTTCTGTGTATTAAAAAATGAAAAAAAAAAAGGCTCCTACAATCTTGGTCTGGGTCACATGTGTAATTTATTATTTGGTAACTTTCCATGTGGAACCAAACAAAGATACTTGCATGCCACTGAGCCAAAGAGAGAAAAGCCACAGGCATGGCCTCCCCTGTGGACTGCTGCCCTGGTGGGTTCTACGGCAAGAAGGAACAATGGCTCTGTCTGATTTGACCAGGTAAAGCCTTCTGTGAATATCCAAGCCAATGTCCTTGGAATGGGTCAATGACAGCATTGTGGCACTTCTGTCTTCACAACCTTTTAGCTGTTCCAAACTTAAACTCCATGCCATTTCCCACCAACTTCCCACTATGCCTCCCCAGGTCTTTATTCTATTTTTTGTCAGCAAATCTGACTGCAGCATTCTCATATAAGACTCTCTTAGAAGTAGGATGAGAGAAGTATTTGTCCTTTTGTGATTGGCTCATTTCACTGAATATCATGTCCTGAAAGGTCATCCATGCTGTAGCAGGTGTCAACTTTCTGTTACCTTTTAAAGCAGAATAATATTCCATTGCTTGCACAGACATGCGGTGTTTATCCACTCAATCACAAATGCTTGGACTACTCCCACCTTTTAGACATTGAGAATAATGCTACTATGAACCTGGGTACAAAAATTGCTCTTTGAGATCCTGTTTTCCTTTGGGAATTGATATATACCCAGCTACAAAATTTCTGGGTCTCATGGTAATTGTTTTTAATGTGTGAATATATGTGCACATGTATGTGCATGTATGTAAGTTATGAATGGTCACATGAACAAGTGTGTGTATGTGTGTGTTTCTGTGTGTCTGTGTGTAAGGTGGAGACTAAAGGAGAATCTCCAGTATCATTCCTCACGTACTATTCATCCTGTTTTTTGAGACAGGGTCTCTCATTGGCCTAGAGCTCAGCAATTAGGCTAGTCCAGCTGGCCGACTAACCCCAGGGATCATCCTATCTCTGCTTTCTTAGTACTGGGATTATAAGCACCTGGCTTTTTTTTTTACAGGAACTCTGAAGATCAAACTCAGGTCCCCATTATTGCAAGGCAAGAACTTTACCAACTGAGCCACTTCATCAGCCTGTGTTTAACTTTTTAAGGCTCTGTCACACTGTTTTTCTACAGCATCTATGAATTTTACAACCTTATCACTAATGTACCTGGTTTCTGTTCTGATCATTGAATTCCTCTTTGACCTAAAGCCACAAAAACAAAGCCTATCATTTCACATTCACTTACTCTTAGTGCCTTTTTCCTACCCTCTCCAGATCCCTCTGAATGCCTGTGTATAGACATTCATGCTCTGTGGCATCCCCCTTTGGGACAGGAAGAGCCCCATAGATAGTTCTGTGGTCACAGCACTGAGTCCCCTCTACGGCACTCTGCATATGGTCCTCAACTTTTCTTGATATTTCTTTTGTTTTCTTTAAGATTTGTTTCTATTGAAGTGGATATGTATATGTGCATATGCATGTGAAATGCCTGTGGAAGCCAGAAGAGGGTATCAGATCCCCCGGGATTGAGGTTATGGTCAGTTGGGAATCTCACTCTGGTCCCCTGGATGAGCAGCAAGTTCTCCCAACCTCTGAACCACCTCTCAGGCCCTCTTCATGGTATTTCTTTCTCTTTTTTTGGTATTTATGAGACAGGGTTTCTCTGTATTGTTTTGGAGGCTATCGGTCCAGCCCGGCCTCGAACTCACAGAGATCCGCCTGCCTCTGCCTCCCGAGTGCTGGGATTAAAGGCATGCACCATCACCACCCGGCTCTTCATGGTATTTCTATTTATCTGGTACATACAGTATCCTTTTCGATTTGTTAGCACCAGAGGACAGTTTTCCAGGGCAAGAGCCAAAAAGAAGTAGCATGGTTCCAAAAATCCCTTATGTCTCTGTTTCTACAGCAAAAAGGCAAGCAGCACAGCTTGAATTGTAAGAACTGAGGAGTCTAGACAAGACAGATTCCCTATCAACACAAGTGGTTCCGCATGAATAAACAAGACATGATACTGCCCATAAAGCATGAATTTGTCCTTAGTCAAATGACTGGGAGCAAGAACACAACATGACAGTGGAACCTGGGGAATTAGAGGAAGGTCTGTATGTCTGGGAGCTATTTTTGCGGTCATCCCCACACTGGCCAGGAAAAAAAAAAACAAGAGAAAAATGTATCCTCTCACAGTTCTAGATGCCTAAAGTCTAAAATCAAGACATTACCAAGGCCAAACTCCCTCGAGTGTCTGTGAGAATGTGTTCCAGACCTTTCTTTTATTTTCTGGCATTACCCATCTAGATATTACTTGACTGGTAGACACTTCTCTTTACCTCTGCCTGTTTTCATGTGGCCTTGTCATATGTGTATATCTACCTACGTTTCTTCTCTTACAAGGACAGTAGTTTGTGGATCAGAGCCCACCATCGTGGTCTCACTTAGCTTGATTACAAATGTGAAAAGACCTTTCTAAACAAAGCCACCCTTACAGATTTCAGGGTGAGGACATGGACAGATTTTTTGAGAAACATAACTCAATGCACCATAGTCAGGAAGAAAGGGGCCAAGCAATTCCCAGGACCTGATTGCTCTCCTCCTCATTCCATTGGATTCATGGGCTAAATAAGACTCAGCCAGTTATCACTATACTGTAAGATATGTTCTGTACCACAAGATCCTGGAAGCTTCAGGCTCTAGAATATCTTATCTCAGTCTGTCATTTCTGGCCTTTTAGACCTAGAATAAAGGAGATGGAAGACTGCAATTCTTTAACCTCCATCACTTTGTTTATAAAAGCCTTGGACACAGGAAGTAAAAAATAACCCAGAGTATAACAATGTCTTTACTTTTATGATGCCTAAAAATGAGGCCTTATCTTCACTGTCCCATGGGCCAAGTGACAAGCACCGAGCTAATAGGCCCAGAGGACAGCACACAAATAACACCAAGTGAGGTCAGTAAGTCTCCTGGGCAGTGTGACAGACACACAGCACATGGGGGAATTCTAAAATAGCAGTCACAGTCATGTTATCTGGTACAACCAGCTCAATTTACAAAGTGGAAACTGAGTCCCACGAAGAGTGAGGAACTGCTGATAATCAGCGGGAAAGGAAATATTAGGTTTCTAGGTGCTATGTACTGTGTGTGGTCACTGTTAGGAGGAGAGTTGCCTGTCCTAACCCCCAGGGAGCTTTATCAAATATGTCTCCTATGCTATGGTCTGCAGAGGCCCTGAGAAGGGAAGTGGAGCAAAGTGAAATAAATGTGGACAGACAGAGCCCTCTTTAGGGTTTGAACAGCTCTATCACCCACCAATGCTAGTCCAAAGGGAGGGTTCTGTCTTCTGAGATCTGAGAGAACACCTTTTTATAGGTCAGATGAATTCAAAGGATTGAGATGGGTATAGGGCTGAGGTGCAACTCAGTGATAGAGCAATTGCCCTGGCTTCCTGCCTAAGCACACCAAGAAACAAGTAAATGTGAGAGCCCAGGAAGCTTCATTTAACATTGAAGCCTGGGGTTGGAGGCCTCAAAAGCCTATTGAGGAAAATAAAAGAAGCCAAGAGTGGAACATCCATCTTGAAAGCCTTTTCAAGTGTGGTTAGCACAGAGACCAAGGCAGTCAATGCTAAAAGTGAGAGACACAATTCCCTTGGAAACAATAGACAGTAGGACAGACTGGACTTCAGCCTTCACTATATGCTCAGAGCCTTTTCTCTAGGCCCTGGGTGGGCCACAGGTCTCCTCCAGGCATCTCAACCACACTGGGTGGGTACAGTGGAAAGGGAGCACTCTTGGGACAGTGGGACTCTGAGGCAAATCCATTTGTACAGTTTGTTGCAACCATTCATTCAGGTTAAAGGCTAAGAAGGAAAAGATAAGGAAGTATGAGATGCATAGTGGGTGACAGAGCAAGTATCCTTCCAACAGCTGTAAGGAGCAGAGGCCTGCAAGGAGTGGACAGAGGTGCAGGGAAGCCTATAGAGATGGCTGTACACTCCTCCCTTCCATTTCCTGGCTTGCTTGGAAGGGTGGCCTGTACTTCCCAAAGCCAGTCAATGGTGTCTCAGAGTATGTGGCAAGAAGACTTAGGATATTTTTGTCAGATCCACCACTGTGAGCCCTCCTAGAAGGAATATTAGAGACTTGACCCTCTTCCACATGCCTCTTGGCACACAAGATATAATGCCAAGAGGGCACTTTTGTGTTCAGAAGAATCCAGAGGTCACATGACCAGCTGTGTGATGAACAAGACACTCAGGAAGTTACTAAAAGGAGCTCAGAGTCACAAAGTGTCTAGGAGTATCCAGTTCCACTTGCCTGCCTGTGCTGGTCATTTGTCATTTGTCATTTCTGAGACCTGAACTTCCTCCTGCCAGGGCCCACTCCCATCCAGGCGTTCAGTGAAAAGATAATTGAAGCTGCTACCTGTGTGTTCATCAAGCCAGGCATATAAAGGACCTGTGCGGCATTGAAGCCAATCCCATCCCAGGACAGCCACCTTATTTCTCTTTTGTGCCTTTGAATGCCATCCCATGGGCCTTCCTCTCAGAAGTGAGCCAAGTTTTGTCAAGTTGCTGTGTGGCTATGCTCCCCAACTGACAAAGGATTGATATACAACAGCTGCTCAGCAAATGTCATTTTCATGACTGCTTGTCTCAAAATGTTTACAGTGAGAATACCTCAAATGGAAACCCATAATGAGTTCTTGTAAAGTCGTTTTGTAAAGTCAAGCAATCCTTGCCAAACTGTGCCTAGTATGTGACTAGTCTCTTTGCCTACCAGGAACAAGTGAGGCCCAAGTGTTGGGAACCTCTTGCTTGAAGCTCCATGAGCAACTGCTGGCATTACCCCCAATCTGCATGCTGTAGGTACCAGAGTCCTTTCCAGTGGTAACAACTTACCACATGAGGGGAAGGGGCTGCCATATGCTGAATGCACATCAAGACCAACATGAAATCCAAGGAGCCCACAGCAGGCTGCCATTGCCCCTATATTCAGAGCCAGACTTTCTGAAAGAGTAAGA